TAACTGAAGCATACAGAACGCCAAAGAACCTCAACCCAATGAAAAACACACCGAGACATATAATAGTCAAGATCCCAGATATTCAACACAAGAATCATCTACTGAAAGCCACTAGAGAAAAGAAGCAGATCACATTCAAAGGAAAACCCATCAGAATTACGGCCGACTTCTATTCACAAACCATGCAGGCAAGAAGAGCATGGAGCACAGTACTTCAGGTCCTCTATGAAAACAAATTCCAGCCCAGACTACTATACACTACAAAACTCTCTTTCAAGTTTGATGGAGAAGTGAAATACTTCCATGACAAAGAACAGCTAAAAAATTTCACGATGACAAAGCCAACCTTACAGAGTCTACTGAAAGATGTTCTAGAGAGGGACCAAAAGATCAGAACTCCACGAATGAGATCAGAAGCAACCAACTAAACAGGATAAGCAATTAAGCATAGGAGAAAAATGAGTAAACGATAACAGGTAAATGACATGGCAACTGTAAGTCAATACATCTCAATTCTAACCATCAATGTAAATGGATTCAATTCACCTATTAAGAGAAATAGACTGGCACAGTGGATTAGGAAACATAATCCAATAATATGCTGTATAAAAGAAACACATTTAACTCATAAAGACATTCATAGGCTGAAATTCAAAGGATGGAACACAATACTACATGCCCCTGCACCTCAGAAAAAAAAGCAGGGGTAGCAATTCTATTCTCAGAAAGTCTCACTTTCAAACCAACAATGATCAACTGAAATAAAGAAGGCCACTATATACTGGTTAGGGGAAAAATTCAAGAGGAAAAGGTAACACTCATAAATATGTATGCACCAAACACGGGAGCCCTGCACTATATAAAGTAAATCTTAATGGACATGAAAAATCTAATATCCAACAGCACAATTTTAACAGGAGACCATAACACACCCTTATGTCCAAAAGATAGGTCAACCCAGAGAAAAACTTAGAAAAGATACAACAGAACTGAACCAGAGTTTGAAACAAATGGACTTGGAAGACATATACAGAGTGTTCCACCCAAATACAGCTGAATACGCATTTTTCTCAGCTGCACATGGGTCATTTTCTAAAACAGACCAAATACTGGTCCATAGGTCATGCTTGAGTATATGCAAGAAAAGAGAAATTATCCCATGCACATTATATGACCACAGTGCAATGAAACTGGAAATAAACGACAAAAGAAACCAGAAAAAAACTTTTAATACATGGAAATTAAATGACACCCCACTCAGCAAACAATGGGTCACAGGTGAAATTAAACAAGAAATTCAACAATATCTACAATTCAATGAAAATTCAAGCACAACTTATCGTAATATATGAGATACGATGAAAGCAGTTCTCAGAGGGAAATTCATAGCTGTGAACTCACACATTAGGAAAACAGAACGGGAACAAATAAGTACCCTAATGATGAACCTTCAACAACTAGAAAAGGAAGAGCAACCCAAACCCAGAGCCCAAAGACAGGAGGAAATCATAAAGATTACAGCAGAAATTAATTCAATTGTGACAAAGAAAACAATTCAAAGAATTAAAAAAGCAAAAAGCTGGTTCTTTGAAAGATTAAATAAAGTTGATAAGCCCCTAGCTCACCTCATCAAACAGAGGAAAGAAAAAATTCAAATACAAGCAATAAGGAATGAAAAGGGTGTAATTACCACAGACTCAGTG